ATATCAGATTTCGTTAACTTGATTGAAATTTTGGCAGGGCTTCGCCGGGAGAGCGTGAATGCAACTAGCGTATGAATAGAACGCGAGGATTAAAGTTGCACCTCCCGAAGAACGTTAACGAATTCATGCAACACGCGAACGAAGACTTCGTCTGTCGAAAATGTCTTTAAAGCAGAACACACCGAAGGAACCTTCGAATTTCAACTACCTTCTCAGTTCGTTAGTGAAAACAGCCGATCACTTCAACGCACAATACATCCCTAATACTTTAGATTCGCTCCATCTTTAACCCTTTGCACTCGAGAGGCAACTCCCAGTCGCCAGATGATTCGGTACAGTAAAATTATGAACTTTTGTATTTACCATAACTTTGTATACTTCAATACGTGAAATATTGGAAGAAAATAGCTTTGTTCCCTAATTTACGTGTGATTTCCTGATAATTTAATTTTAAAGAATCTTGTCTACGTTTAACTGAAAAGTATTGAGTATCTCAAGTGAAAAACTTTCGAGTGCAAAGAGTTGATTCTCATATTTCTACTTTATCCCTGACGCACACAAGAAGCTGAAACATCTTCGTCCGCCTCCGTCACTATGAAATATTCCAAGGAACTTTTGGAATCTACATTTGCATAAAAACCCGCAGCCGAAGTATTCATGCATGCGGCGGCACGCGCGAAGTTTCGTCAATCTTCGTTAATCCCGATCCATCGAATAATAAATTCACCGGCTTCCCCGCTGGTCCGGCCGACGCTCATTGTACATTCTTGTTCGCGCTCGATTGTTCTTCGGCGTTGTTCCTTCGGTCCACTTACGTCGCGCCTCATTTAATTTACGACTTCGTTACACCTCGCCCTCCGAGCCGCGAACGTAATCGATCCCAGCCGTCGTGGAACAATGGTGACTAAAAGATTTACGCCTTTTTTCCTCTCTCTGTCTCTCCCACTCGGCGTCGAAACGGACATTTGCAATTCTATCGGGTGAACGCGCGAGCGAGCGAGCGAGCGAGCGAGCGAGCGAGCGAGCGAACGAGCACGCAGGCCGGTCCGTATCCCGGACGGCCAGGATCGATGCGCGGGATGATCCGCTTCCATCGCGCGAGAGCACACGCTTCCGCTTCGCCTTTAATTCAGACGCTGGTCCCCGGAAACGCGCGATTACCGTTAGACCCTGTCTTCGTTTCCCCTTTAACCCCTTGCCTTATTTTACGTACCGGACAAAGTTCGTGCGGGTTCTTAGATCTGAACCGTTTGCACTTGAAAATCTTCTATTAGAAATATTCAGCGTTTTCTGGTAAGATGTAGACGACGTTGTTTGGAACCAACCAATGAGAAAACATGTAAATCAAGAAACAAAGCTGTTTTATTGCAATATTTCATCGATGCTTTATACAAGGCTTTTGCACTCGCAAGTTTCTCGCTAGAAATATTTAACAGTTTTTGAGGCGAATATTCTTTGAAACTATCTCGAAGGAAATCACAAGTACATTGAGCAACAAAGATGTTTTATTCCAATATTTCACTTATCGATGCATTATACGAAGCTTAACCCTTTGCACTCGGAAGTTTCTCGTTAGAAATATTTAACAGTTTTTGAGGCGAGTATTCTTTGAAACTATCTCGAAAGGAAATCACAAGTACATTGAGCAACGAAGATGTTTTATTCCAGTATTTCACGTATCGAGGTATTATGCAAAGTTCAACATTAAGTATCAGATTTTACAGTTTCACTGCGTCAAGTCAAGTGGTGACTGAGAATCACCCCTCGCGAAGGGTTAACGTAGAGAACGTTTTCGTGAAATAATTTCATTTCATTCGATACTGACGGCGTAAACATATGTTGCTCCGAATAGCAGTTTCATTTGTCGAACTAGTGAAATACTGAATGAAATCGGACCTCGATTCATTGCTAACAGGGAATCCGAACTTTGTCTGGTAGCTGTTATAATAATGTCGTGCGAAAGTCGGGACGAAGATTTACGGCTTCACTACTAACGTCGCATATTTGTGATGGTTGCAGTGCTGCACTTCGAAGAAACAGAGAAAATGAATGGATGTTACAGACATTGGCATTTGACGTTATAAGATTGTGACATTGTTTTCGTTTGTTTCGTTTATTTTCGACGTATGTTCGTGACGGCTGCAGTTCTAGACTTTATGCGAAGGAAACGAAATGAATGTTATAGATATTGTCATTTGAAGTTACGAGGTATGACGTTGTATTCCGGAAATCTTTTCAGTTCCATTTTGTCAGTATTTCAGTTCGAACAGTCGTTGGATTTGATAAAACACCGAATCAAATGCAGCGTACGTGTTCCTCTGAATATAAGAGATCTAAGATAAAGTGAGATTATGTTAAATTCGTATCTTTTCGTAAGTTTTCAAAGGTTCTTGTATACGACGAGTGCACGACGAACGACGAAGGCATTAAATGTCGTAACTGTTCATCGAAGGATTCTGCGTGCAAATGATTCCAGCAAGGAACACGTAGAACATCATTTCGAAAGGAATGTTTGAACTATCTCTCTGCAGCGACCGTATCAAAAATTTATTCACAGCCAGCCTCTTACGCGTCAAGTGGCGAAAAAGAGGGTGGTAGAAAATGGCGGAATTTATGGTTCCTCCGATACCTAAAACTCTGGTATGAAATGATTCTGCAAGCCTGGAGGGATCATAAAATCAGGGAAAAAGAAGGCAGCTGCTACGAAATATGAATTTGCTTCAGGAAAGCGAAAGAACTGAAAGTATGCTGTACGAAGTGAACAAAATGGAGACGTGATCGAGCTGTAACATTTAAAAAACGTTTATCCACCATTTTATTTCTCCAAATTGTATCGTTCACGAATCCTAAAACCGTGTTTCGTTTCATTTCGAGTTACGCCGAGCGTGGTTTGAACGAAACCCGAGTCTCGTATCGAAAGTGGGATTCAGTGTAACAGGAAATACACGCGCAATACGATATTTTTTGTATGCGTCATCCATGACAACATTACACGTGAAATTCCGACGATGATCCTCTTCCGTTGATAACCGTTAGATTCGCTGTCCTATGATTCATAGCTGAGTCGTGACGGTTTTAAGTGAAAGTCTTTAAACGAGTGTTGTGCAAATGACGGCAACGAATACTGCGAGCGTCATTAACCGTTGTTCACTTAGAAAAATCGTACGATTTCCTTATTGAGAAAAGATACGGCCGCCATTTGGTTTTGTCCTCGAACTGAAATCATTTTTGTCGTTCGATTTGTTCAGTAGAATCGTTAAGTACCGCAAGAAGCCTTCTGTCGAAGCGAACGAAACACTGTAGACGATAAAATTTAAACGGAGAACACCCTGTATACTCAGAATTTCGGAGAAAAGCGCCGCTTGAGGTTGGCCCGATCGCGAAAGGATCGACGATCTAGAACGGAAGAGACGGAGACGTAGCACGTAAGTTCATGTACATGTGTATACCACGATACGATGTACAAAAAGCAATATCCACACCACCGTATATGTAATCGTTATACGGGGTGCACGGAAAATCGTGGTGCAAGTGGACACAGTTGGATCCACGCGAGAGAAGAAAATAGATTCGATGCGAATTAGAGAGAAAATTTCGTTGGAAAAATCAATTTTCCTCGCGCGAGAATCTCCGGTTCTCGAGAGAAACGATTTTGAAAATTGGCCTGACGGTCACGAGCGTGCACGACTGCGATAAGTAGAAAGCGCGCGCGATGGTCAGCCCGCTTATCAGGAAATTTCATATTTTACGGCTGATTTTTACGCAAGGGAATAACTGCAACTTCGTTGTGCCACCATTTTGTGTGCACTCTGTGTGCAGTAAATCCAGTTTACGTGTGTGCACGAGATTATTCCGGTTTTCGGAAATACGTGGGAAGGATTGTTCGCGCGAACGGAGAGAATATCAAATGTACCGAGTCACGGTTTCAACCGGTGAATTAAAGGTGCGCCTATGTACGATGAAAATGAAATTTCTACGATGGATTTTCGCGTATTTTTCAATCGTGGTGAGAAATGATCGCGTGCGTACGCGACGGAACTCGACGTACTGTATACGTACACGTATACACACACGTACAAAATGTACACGGGAAGACATATGTACACACGAGATACGTAAGAAGTACACATATACCAACTTTCGACTAAAATCGCAATTTATTCGTAATTCGCCCACTCGATTGTAAATTTCGGTAGTACGTGCTTTGTAAGATTGTAAGTGCTGTGCATATGTATATATAACAGGGTGACGAGAGAAGTACGAGGACGAGAAACGTGTAGAGAAACAAAATTATTTGTCCGATGGAAATAATGTGTCTTATATATTATGGCAGTATGGCGGGAAATCGATGTTTCCCCGACGAGAACTCGAAGAGAGATCGATTGCGAATCATAGGTGTGTTCCTCTTAATTAGATGGAGTAAAAGTGTAATAGTTTCGTAAATTACCTGACACGGAAAAAAAAATACAAAAAAGATATAGATTACAGAGTCACGAGGTCTGCTTTGTCTTGTTATAATCAAATACTTTATATTATGTAGTACAGGTTGTCATTAAACGTGTGAACAAACCTATATCATTAAACCTTTTTAATTACTGAAGAAACAAAGAAAAAACTGATGCGTCAAAGTAATTGGAC